GTGGATAACAGTTTTGCATATTATAATGAGCTTCACTCTTGACCCGGTTTGTCATTATGAGGTAGGCATCTATGTTATTTATCTGTGCGTGTAATGCGCGAATCGGTGGGCGGGGCTAAACTGGCCGTGTTGATCTTCTTCTACGGGGGTGGTGTTTTATCCTCTTTGACGTCATAGTTCCCCACTTTGAAAAACGAGTCGTTTGCTTAGCCTGGTGTCAATAAAAGCTTTTATTGGACTAACAAGGACTTTTTCATTTCTGAAACTTATAGGATATTCTTATAATATGATGACCTCTTAGATGTCAAAAGCTCAAGGAAAATTTGATTTCTCAGTTCATCACCCCTTTAAGTCATTTGCAGTGCGTCATGGGAGTGGGAGGGTGAGATCTTTTGGCATGTTGTGCCGTTCTGATATTTGGAATGTTCTGTACTGAATCATGGGTAATGTGGTTTTTCACCACAAATTAAGCTGTTATACGATTATTTTCAAATAAGGTGGGCTGACGGCTTCAACAGAAGCAAATACTATCAATTAACTACCTCGTACCTCACAGAAAGATTGTCTTTAAAGGTTTATAAGTTATCCCTATGAAAAAAAAAAGTTTTTCCTTCTGGAACCCGACTGTTGCACTCTATAGTAATAGGGATGCTTACATTAGCAAACACGACAAATTATTTCTATTGGTAAAATATTTTTAATTGCAATATTGTGGACATTATTGTAAGATGCACCCAAATGCCATCAATGGCCTCCCTACAGTCCTTCTAAAAATCAGCTTTATTCTCAACATTGCAACATGTCCCCTGCCCACCTTTTGTAACAAGCTCCGCCCATCGCCAGACCAACACTTGGCACCACTGCCACTTGGCAGAGTCTCATCTCTGCCACCCATCGCTCCCCTCTCCCCATCCCTTTCCTCCTCCTCTGAAGCAATGGGCACCAACAATCTGTGGCATTGTGAGAATGAAGCGGCCGGTTTGTTCCAGCATCTGGTGTCCCCATTTTAGGGCAGCCGCTTCAGAACGTCCAAAAAAGTGCAGGGAGTTGAAGAGAAGAGAAAAGATTTGGAAGAGGTTTGCCTTTTGTCCTGTAAAGATGGTTCAGCAGACGTTCTGCTTTCTAAGGACATTGTGTTGGCTCACCGCATTGAGAAATGTCAAGTTAACTGCACTGACAGCAATAAACATTTGTCATAAAAAGCTAATTCTCAATAGTCCTCCAGCATTATGTTTTTTTTTCAACCTGATGACTGAGTGATTGGAAATCTGTTAATTATCTAAGACAAGAATACATTTTATTGTTCATATTATTGAAAAAAAAAAAGATTTCTTCGATTTTTTTTAATTTGTAATTGTAATTTTGCTTTCTTGCAGTCAAAATGTTCCATTCTGTTTGTTCCATCAATTCAAATTCAATTTAAATTCAGGTTTTGACCTGGATCTTTAAAGACCCTCTCAATTTAATTCTGAATGGTTCATAACTGCATGGCAATGCACCGAAAACAACCCACAGAACATATTAGCAACCATCTAGCAATGTTCTGGCAACTACAACACCCTTGAAACTGCATAACAAATGCTAAAAGCACGTTAGCAACCACCAAGAATGCCTTAGTAACCACTTAGCAAGCCCTGCCAACCACCCCAAACTCTGTTGCATTGACTTTTCCGGGTGACTCTTGCACGGGTAAGCACTGCTTGCAATTTCTCAATTTAAAAAATAAAAATCTTGTTTTCTTTAAAATATGCAACATAGCAATAAGGCCTGCAGAGATTGCTGACTATTACAAATAAAGTTTGCACTGTAACAAATGAAACAGCAAAACATGGAACCGCTCACACAGCGTTATGTTTCCATCCTGCATAGAAAAAACCACAATGAGGTTTGACTTCTGCAAATCGGCAGCCCACTATAGTTTCCTACGTGCCGTATTCCTTTTACTTTCATGAAAGCCAATAAGAGCTCAGCGAACAGTCTCTGAGGTGCACATTGCCATGAATAGGCTATTAGTGTGGACAGGAAGGGGAAGCTTTAAACCATGGGGGCCAACACATGGTTTCCACCCAAGTCTGAATGGGCTTGGATTGTAAATAATTGCATACAGTTTCCATATGAATGCCTGTCCCTCACAGGGCCTGCAATGAGCAGATGATGAAAATGTAGTTCTTAAAGTTTAATCATAGACATTCACTTGCTTTGTGGCAATGCTAAACAGACAGGACCACCAGGCGTTATGATTTCATTCTCAGAGACTGTAAGATGTTGTCTTGGTTGAATCACGCTTTACCCAGCAATACACCATGTCAGTCAACATTCGGCAAACGAAGTTAAAAAAGAGAAAGAAGGGTTTGCAATTCCTTGAAAATAAATCCTTTAAGGTCTCTATATCTTCATTTGGCCAGCTTTTTATTCTAATCTCCACTTAACATACAGTAGTGTTGTTTTTTTCTTTCTTTTTCTGGGAGCAATCCGGCAGTAACACGAGAACTCTTAATATGTTCAAAAACACCTGAAACGGAGAGATAATCACTCCTGGAACAGCTCTTCATTCTTTGTCTCACTACCCCTGTAACTAAAGAAATATTTATCCTCTGAGAAGTAATTAAGTGCCAGAGTACCTGGGAGGTTTTCTCTCTCTCTCCATCTCTGACTCTCTCTCTCTCTCTTTGTTCCGCTCTCCCTTCCTTCTCTTTAATTTTCTGTTAAGTCTTCATTCATCCCCCTCACACCCCAGACAGGTGACAACCCAAGGCTGCCTGTGATCCAATTCTTCCCCTTCAACCTTTTCAGGGAGGAGGAGCACACTCCCAAGCATGCAGGCTGTGGGATTCCAGGGATGTTATTTACAAAGCCTTCCTCCTTTCCACGCACCAAATGTCATGTCTTCTCCTCCTTAGGAGCCCTCAGGCAGGCCTCCACTGCTAGGGCCGCTTTCTAAGGAGTCCTTTCTTCTGGGTCATAGTGTCCAGGTGACCACAGGATGTTGTTGAGAGGTTTTCCAGCCTGAGCACATGGGGCTGTCTCGCCACAGGGACTTCCTATTTTGGCTGCAGCTGCCCGTTAGCAGCAGCCACATCATGGAACTCCAGACCATGTGTGTCAATGAGGAGAAACACTGAACACTTACCACTTGTTGGCTGAATTAGCTGCAAGCCTATTGATTGTGGAATAGTGTAAAAACAACAGCAATCAAAGAGAGTCCTGTTAAAAGCCCAAAACTAATGCTGACATGCACCATTTGTCGGGGAAAGAACCACACTTATGTACTTGAAATAATGTCTTGCCATTTGTGTAACTATATTTGCGCAGTAAACCTTACCGTCTGACCCTACCTTCCATATTAATCAAGCTGGAATGCCAAGCGAAAGGAATTCTGTTTGGATTGGCCTCTCTCCAGAAATGTCCATGCTTCTGTTCCCGATGTGCAGATGATATTGTAAGCCGGGACTTACTTCTTAACAACCAGTGTTAATTGTAGTCTATCACTACCGAGATAATGTAACCGTGCTTTTCAAAATAACCATGCATGTTCTCTAAGATATTACATTTTCTTTCCCAAATTGAAACCCAGTCGCAAAACATGATCATGGCTACTCACAAAGAGTCCTTTGTTGTGCGAAACCTTGCACCTGTGCTAATTTTGCAGACGATACCTTTGGCAGGAGAGGCTCCTTTTTTTCCTTTCTTCGTGTATAACAGAGCTGGAGAAATCCAAAGCATGTTGGCCATCTTTCATACTATTTGCAAGTTTCTTTTTGCAGGGCCAACCCAATGGGAATACTCTGACACAGACATTATTAAGTGGATTCTGCACCAGTTGAGGAAAGGTTTAAGGGGTTTGGCCAGGTTTTAGGACACTTTGTGAGGAATGTTAACCAGGAAAGTCACGCTTCCTCACCTCACTTGCCATTCGTGGCCCCAGTGGTGGGTTTGCACCTGCCTCCGGTAACCTGACTCTTGAGCCCCTGGCCCCTTCATAGTTGTGTGACAGACTTGAGAGATCAATTTCCTCTAGTTGGAGGCATGAGTGCTGTTCTGACACGGCTTTGCCTCCAAGTCTGGGAGGCTGACAAGGTGAGCCTGGAGGGACAAAAGACGTAGGGTACCTGGGGTCATATTTAGCACCTCTGACTGCAAATTATTATCAATGGTGCTTCCCGCAAACTTATTTCAACAAACCCACTAGCCCCAAGGACTAAGTTTGGGTGTGTAAATGGTCGTGCACCATATGAATGATACCACAAATCGTGTGGCTTGTTGAGGATTTTTATTATGATTTGATAATGTGGTGGGTAATAAAACATACGAAAAGTCTAACTTTTCTTTGAAGCAGGGACCCAAGGCGTATCTAGGATTAGAATATTACATTGACCTGAAGGTAGGCTCTTTAGACTTGGACCAGTAAGGAACCACTAAGAGACCACCCAGAACATCCTAGAACTGTGGTGGTGCATTTCGCACAAGCACAAACCACTCTACAAAATGTAGTTATTATGTCTAAAGAAATTTATTGTTCAGTGCGTTAAACAATCCAACAAAAGGCTGTGAAAGGATATTTCATGGGGACGTGGGAATAATAAAGTACTGCACACATTCCAACGCGCCAATCCTCTTTTCCCAGTGTCACAAACAAATCTTTCACTTACTTGTCCTGTAAACTACAGCTTTTTCTGGCTTAGCTGGCTTACTACCAAATGAGTGGAAAGTGACAGAATTCAAATCCCAGAAGAAAAACAGAATAACATTCATTTTCAGAGGGGCCATGCTTCCTAGGATTGGGCGCAACCTCTCTCGGTCCCCGCCGACTTGCTCAACGTGGAAATCTGTTTGAGATTAGGTCTAAAAACAAATCAACGGAGGAATGTTTTCATGTGTGCAGATATTGGGACCAGCTTTCCCCGCAGACCATCTTGGCAGGATGGGTTGGACCTCCCTGGTGCCTGAGGACCCAGAGAAGCAGCCCCAAATCCTCTCGGAAATTGCTGGTTTGATATAATAACATGACAGGAAACCACTCGAAACGTCACTTTTTTTTGTGCTGCATATGACTGTGTGCTCCATCACAAATTTCACCTCTGATGATTATAGAAATGACATTTTTAGGTTCATTTCTTTATATAGTTCTATATGACACCTGTAAACAAATCTCTATTCTTTCTTTGCACTGACTTTTGATCAACTGGTGTTTTTTGTGATTGTTAATAAATACATTAAGACAGTTGTCCTAGCTGTGTAACCACAGGTGTAGTGTATCTCCTAACCCCAACGTGTACAAATACTTTGTTAAATTTGAAATGATTAGCTTGAACGTGCTAGTGTTATTTTAAATATAAATGCTAATTATGCAGTGAAATTTAATTCAATAGTTTGACACTATCATGTGAAAAGACAATGCCATACACTTAAGCATGTGCAGTTTTAGTATGCGTGGGTTGTGTAAGTTTCCTGTAATGAGATGATGAGGTTTAGCAGATCGACACAACATCAACATTAACAGGTTTGGTTGATTTGTAGAGCCATTGACATGTATATATGCAATCATTTTCATTAAGACTAGATTTCTTCTAGAAGTATGGAAATATTTGAGCATATTAAACTAATTAGGATATATCAGAGAATTTGATGCAGGTTAAATTGCAACAGGTCAGAAATGCAGGTAGGAACCTCATTTTGATAGTCACAACCATAAAATCATTTTTTTTTTATTGTAATTTAATGTCATTCGGTGACTACTCACTTTAGCAAAATGAGGAAATATGTCATGCATTAAAATGTCAAATTCAATTTAATTAAAAAGAATTACCATTTCTTCCCTTCACTGTTTCTTTCTCTTTGTCACAGTGTTTACATATATAGTTTAAGCTGTACTTTTAATAATCTTTTTGAACATTCAAGTTAACTTACTTAGATATTGCATTCAATTAAAGGTGACAGGACATAATAACAAAGTTGTAAACAATCTCATTTGGGGAAAAGGACATTTTCATCTAAAATTGTTAATCATGATTATCAATTGTAAAATTTTTATAATTTTTTTTTTGTGCGTGCCGTGTTTGTTTTGCGCTTACTAGAGTATTGTTAGCTTAGCAATATGCTAAGGGCATACATTTTTATTTACCGTAGAATACCTAACAGTGTAGGCACTAATAGAGCCACATAAGTGAGTTAGGAACATTTAATATTTTTTTATTAAATGTTTTAAGCTTTATTTTGGATTAGAGCCTGGTTTTAGCTGTCTATTACCCACCAACCTCTCAGTCTCCACCCTATATCCTCCACCTATTCAATGAGGATATGTTTCCTATCCACTAACAGGTTCTCTCTTGCAGCGAAGGTGAATAGTGTGACACTCGCAAATCCATTATCCCAGACTGCTCTGGCTGCTGCATCTGTTTTTTGTTACACCCTCCTTATACTAAGAAGCTATGGACGGTGCAAGAAGGGGATTAACTTATTTTACCTGATGATTTATTTTGTATCCACTTTAGGGTGACATTCTAACACATATGAGACTCTTAAAGGAATAGTTCACCCAAAAATGAAAATGAGCCCATAATTTACTCACCCTCAAGCCATCCTAGGTGCATGACTTTCTTCTTTCAGCCAAGTTATTTAGAGTTATTTAAAAAAAATATATATCTATATCTATATATATATATTCTGTCTCTTCTGTGCTTTGTAATGGGATTGAATAGACTCCAGTGGGTTAATAAATGCCTTCTGAAGTAAAGCGATGGGTTTCTGTAAGACAAATATCAATATTTAAAACCTTATATTATCCTTACAAAAAACCATTGCTTCACTTCAGAAGGCATTTATTAACCCACTGGAGTCATATGGATAATTGTTATGATGGATGTGCTTTTTGGAGCTTAAAAAATTTGGACACAATTCAGTAGTTGGGAAGAGCCAGGATATTATTTAATATAACTCTGATTGTGTTTGGTTGAAAGAAGAAAGGCATTAACACCTAGGATGACTTGAGGGCGAGTAAAATAATGGATCATTTTCATTTCCGGGGAACTATACATTTAAAGGACTGTATTAGATCTTTAAAAAACAGCATTAAACTAACTAAATGATTTTATAGTACACTGCTATGCAGTTGCTAGGGTGTTCTGTGAGGTTGCTAGGGTGTTGCAAGGTGATTGCTCTGGTGTTCTAAATTGTTTTTAGAACTTTGCTATGCAGTTGCTAGGGTGTAACTAAGGTGTTCTGACTGATTATTAGTGCAGTGCTATGCAGTTGCTAGCATGACCTGAGAATTAGGGGGATGCCAGTATGTTCATGCGTTTGATAAAGGTGTTGTTTAAGATTGTTGCTAAAATGATTGTTTGGGTGTTTTGATTGAAATCCACCATCAGATCTGAATATTTGTTCTGATTGTTTATGGCACACCTTCTCAAAAAGATTTGCAAATATATGTGTCATTCATAAAAATAGCATACAATGGTATGGAACGAGTTACAGGTTAAAGTTTAATACGTAGGATTACATAATACTTAGTGGTTTGTTCAAATCCCTGACCCTATGAGCAATAGTAATAGTGATGCTTGCCTTAGCAAACACAATTATTAAACTTTGGCTGACAGAGGGATCCACAGCTGTACGGAGAAACCACTAATAAAACAGGTCCATTAATCATGCGCTTGAGTTTAATCCCAGTTTCCGAGATTTATGGAGCTTTAATTGAATTTAGTTGCAGATCATGGGAAATCCGTTTAAGAAACAAGCGTAGTGTAATACTTTATGGAAAGTAACTTTGTATGGGGAAACATTTGGAAAAAAGTCTGTGTGTGTATTACTTGCTGAATGACTGGGTGGCTGTCCGTCTCAGTGTTTGTCAAAGAAATGTGGCCTGACCCATTTTTATTGCCCTTGTGACGAAGGATATTTTCATTATCGCAGCTGCCCAATTCATATTTAACACAACCTGTTTTATTCTAAACATACTCCTCCTCTTAGTTTGACCAACTCACTCAGCATTGCTTTAAAAAGGTAATTTTTTACCTTAGTGGTTATGTGACCGTGTTTGGCTTGTAGGTTTGTGTACCTCGAGTTTAACTCGTGTCTCAATGGGTCTTTTCAAAGGGGAACTTGTGCGCCAAGAGCCATGACTTAAGCACGGTTGGAAGAGATAGAACAGTGATCTCAAAATGAAAGAGTAGTTTTATGCTCTGAGGTTATGTTTGCATATCACATCATGTGTCCTACATCTCTAATGGATTTCATTGCAAGTATATTTGCATATATGCAAACTTTTTTAGCAAGCTGAGCTTCATGTTTGTAGCTCACCTGAATTATGCTTTGTTCAAATATCATAAATGATTCACATTTCGAGTTACAGTTTATGGTTGGTGGTACGCCAAACGTCATCATTACTGTTGCTCATGGTGTTTTATACAAAACCTTAAACCATATTTAATTTAGTACCTAACTTGTCCTGCAACCGTTTATGCTATGGACATGAATCCTACTGCAGCTTTTTTGCCTGTGGTTAACAAAAAAAAGAGGAAATTTATATCGAAGCATGTTTTCACCACGAAAAAAAAGAAGATAATTGTAACCTTTTATCTCACAGATCTTATTTTTTTCACAGAATTGTGAAATAAACTCGCAATTGTTCAGTACTTCAATTCTGAGGAAAAAAAATACCGACTTGTCACAATGCAATTCTGAGAAACAAAAAAGTCGGAATTGTGAGATAAAAAGTCGCAATTACCTTATTAACTCAGATCATTTAGTCTTGGAAGAATGTGGTGAGAAATGTTTGAGTTAATTTTAAGATCTAAGCACAGTTTGAGACAATCGCATGTGTTTTTCTTTTCTTTTTTCCTATGGCCATCATTACTCCCAAGTCACTGTGACTCACATAAAGAAGAAATTATTTAGCAACATTTTTTTGTCTGAGATAAAGTGGTCGTTTATGAAGCAGTTGGCGCCCGGCTCTCGAGACTGAACCTATAAACTTAACAACCTTGTTTAAACATCAGAGCCCCTTTACCCTTGTGAAGATAAGGACAAACATGAAAAGTTGGTAGAAAGGCGCATGCAAGACTACTTTAACACTTTAAAGTGCCAATAAAAAGTTTAGATGCGACACGCCACCAACAACTGTTCATCAGTGAGTGAGTCAAATTATGTCTGGCCCAAATGAATGTATAAAAAGACACGCATTTAGTTAGGAAATGGGATCAAAAAAACGGTCGCTGGTGCTTAGAAACAGATGGAGACTGTGCTAATCAGTGCCGAGACGTGCACACACTCCAGTGCGGCGTGAGTCAACAGCAATCAGCTCCTGGGTTCAAACACCATCATGCTAAACCACTGCTGACCGTCCCATTACATGGCCTGAAATGGGGGAGGGAGAGGGGTAGATAGCGCAGAAGTGTGCGTGCATGCAAAAGAGATCGCTACTGCTTTCAGATTCAGAACATCCGAAGAGCCCTGAAGCTGCAGTCCCGGTGCAACGACGGTGGCGGCCTGGTTAATGATTTGCTTAAGGGTTTATGTTAAATGCTGTTGTTAGTCCTGCTCTTGTGGACACCATTGTGTACAGCTCAGCTGGCTAGTTGTTGGGAGTGAGTGAATGGGTACGGATGGTAGGTGGTATTTACAGTCAGTCATTAATTATATTATGTGGCAGTCAGGGAGTTGTGAGGTTCTGCATTCGGTTCACATATCATAGGTCAACCCACTGTAATGATCCCTTTAGATAGACCTCACTTTTAAAAAAACTTTTGCTGATAATTTACTCACCCCCATGTCATCCAAGACGTCCACGTCTTTCTTTCTTCAGTCGAAAAGTAAGGTTTTTGATGAAAACATTCCAGGATTTTTCTCCTTATAACGGACTTCACTGGGCACCAAACGGTTCAAGATCCAAACGAGAGTGCAGCTTCAAAGGGCTTTAAACGACACCAGACGATGAATAAGTCTCTTATCTAGCGCAAAAATAATATTTCTTATTTTTACACTATGTAATTTTCTATTTATTTTAAACAACTATAAATTTCAGCATTTTTACACATTTTTACATTTATTCAAAATAATATCTAAAGGCAGTTACACAAAATATAGCCTTTTCGAATCATCATCAGTCACCAAGTTCGTTACACACTGGTCACAGACAGAAGATGGCGTCTATTCACCAAGCTGACTGCTCACCAAAATAATCCCGCAGTCATCATTGTTTTGACATTTCAAGGTTTGATTTTGACATGACATTAACATCTTAAATAGGTGAGTTAATTGTTTACTTACTTTTTACAGTCTTCCAACGCCATAATGTCGATCATACTTCATTCACTTCGGATTCGAGAACGCGCATGAAACAAGCGGGATTTTTTTACAGTCTATGGATTTTTCTCACGAACTATAACCAATCATAGCGCGATGGAGGGATTGACTCCACTCACGTGACTTTCTTCTGTCACATGAGAAAAACGAGAGATACAATTTTTAATGTCACACTTTTGTTGTTTTATTTTTCTAATATGGATTCGTTTCTCCTCCACGTTTTTTGAGGAGGCACTTCCTCCATTGCCTCCTCGGAGGAAACGCCCTATATAATTGTAATTTTTTTTTAAAAAGTATTATTTATAACATCGTATTATTTTATAACAATTAGTTAATGATATTTTTAAATTCTTGTAA